GGAAAGCAGGGCTCCATCATGCGTAACGGTTACTTGGGAAGACAAATGCTATCACTCCGACCGTCCCCCCCTTCCTTCTTCTTCCCAACTGCTTTATATACTGAGCATGACATCATATCGTATGGAACATCCCTTTGGTCAGTTGGGGTCAGCTGGCCCAGCCGCGTCCCCTCCCAACTTCTTGTGCCCCCCCAGCCCCCTCGCTGATGGGGTGGGGTGAGAGGCAGAAAAGGCCTTGACTCTGTGTAAGTGCTGCTCAGCAGTAACGAAAACACCTCTGTGTTATCAACGCTGTTTCCAGCACAAATCCAAACCACAGCCCCATACTAGCTACTATGAAGAAAATTAACTCTATCCCAGCAAAAACCAGCACAAGGGGTTAGACAGAAAAAGGAAGAGTGAAAGAAAAACTATACTAAATTACAGGAAAGTGTTCAATAGGATACTTATTAATAACAGTAGTCTCCATTAAAGACTGGCGTAATATTTTACAGTAACTATCCAAATTAAATACTGAAGAGCACCTTAACAGTGTAGAACCAACTATATTGAAAGGTGCTGCGAACATTACCAAGGAGAGAAAAACAAGACAGCGTACTTCCTCCTCTTGTGCCACTCTTGATTTAACAAAGAAGTTCTGTAGTGGGGCGGGAGGGAGGCTTGGCTGGAAACCTGAGCAGGGTTTTCTAACAACTCTGTTGTTAGAGTTTTCTAACAACGCTGTTGAACTGTAAAAACACTGAGGCAGACACAGGCAGAAAAGAACAGCTAGCTGAAACTCTTCTGAAGGCACAACTGAGTATTCATTGAGCAGATAAAAAAAATTGGTAAGTTCCCCAAGAACTTCCTTTCATTTTCCAAATTCATAAAGGCCACTACAGTGACTCGGCATGTTAGAAATGAGCAACTTCTTGCCCCTCAATGTGACCTCAACTAGCAGACGTTCAGCAACTCCCCTTACTTTGCTTAGTAACCAATATGCATTTAAACATGTCCAAGAAACAGATAAAACCAAACCCTTTTTAAAAGGGAAACAGTTTTCTGTCAACTCTGCATTGTACTCCAGCAAACTTTACAATGTAGAATGCCCAGTCATCTCTTATATAAAAGGAACTAGAAACATATAAAGTCTAACCTGTCACTGTAATTTTGTAGGATGCCATAAGACAACTTACAGATCTTGCAAAGATCCAAGATGTTGTTAAAACAAATAAAACAAAAACATAAAGCAAAGAGGTCCATAGGTCATGACTACCGCACCAGAGTTTATAATTGGCATTCAGTGTGCCAAAGTTTATAATTTCAAAATGGCATTTAGAACTACAGAATGTTTTTTTTTTCCTGTTTGAGACTTTATATTTAGGCACTGTACATTACTTTAAGGAGGAGGGAAACATATTCTCCAGGATATGAAGTGGTCAAGCTTCATAAATGCCACAACCCATACAACACGGTACCTTGTACAGATACAGAAACATAAAGCTCACACGTTACCCACACCCTATCCATCTACCGTGTCTTCCTTAAAAAGGTAAAAAAAACCCTCAACCCTGGCCACTTAATCTAAGCTGGTAGAAATTTAACCCCATCGGGGGGGGGGACACCATTACGCGCCGCAGCAGGGAGCGTGCCCGCATGCTCAGCCGCTCCACGGCGAAGCCTGGCGAGCTAAAATAAGAGCCCCGAGGCGCCCGCAGGCTCAGCTCTGGCCGTTTCGCGGGGATGTTCCAAGAGCCAGCTGCAGGGCGGCCCCTTCTCACCCCGCCCGCAGCTACCGGCTG